ATCCACCTCTGGAGGTAAGGGATACAAGCAAGCACCTAACTTCACTTACAAGGACTGAAATGATTTGAAGCAGGGCTTTCCTCCAATGACTGGACTATTTCTAGTTAACTCTTTTACTATGGTGTGGCCTCTCAGGGTCCCAACCCAGAGTGTAGATTGTTTAATAAGGCTCGCTGGTGTCTACTTTTGTCTCCCTAAGCTTGTGACACTATGAAAGTTGTGCTTAGCTTCTCAGCCACCTCTTCCTAAATAAGAGATGCCTCTGGTGGAAAAACTGCCCGTATGTCTCCTTGTCTTTTCATTTTCTTCTCCCAGATCTTGGTCCTGTAATTCTTCATTGTATTGCAAGCAGATTTTTAAAAAAAATGTGTAGCTTTTATACTGTTGTCAGCAGTAGTGTTCATCTCTGTTACCTTGTGCTCACTTCTGGAAGCCAAAGACCTGCCTTAAAAAAATATAACATATATCATAAGGCAGGAACAATCATTAGCAATGCCGTTAAGGGATAGGTTCCATTCATGTTTTTCTCTTTCACTTTTAGACAGCAGGGTAGAAGTTCTAGAGCATATCCCATTCCAAACTCACTTCCACTTTTAGTTCCATAAAACATCTCAGTCTTTCACTACCCAAGTGCACTGGGTTTTACCGTGTCAGTGTGAATATGTTCCTGTGTCTTAAGCCCCCATCCCTTCCAGGGTTGGACTTCGGGATTTGTGTTCATCAATGGACGTAACCTTGGGCGATATTGGAATATTAGACCTCAGAAAACACTTTACCTTCCTGGTGCCTGGCTTCATCCAGAAGACAATGAGGTGAGTTACCCAACCCCTGACTTGAAGACTCATAAACTTTCAGATCAGCTTTCATCCTCACAGTGCAAATCACAGTGTCTTTCTCATCTGGCCCTCGGTAGGCTTAATGTTTCTAACTGTCAACCTTTCTTTTCTTCCCAGATCATCCTGTTTGAGAAGGTGTTGGGTGGTTCACTCATCGAATCTACAGACAAGCCCTGGCTGTAAGACTGTTTTAACACATTTATTGGGCTGAAATTCATCTATAAGTAGTTTTTCACAAAGAAGATTTACATCAAGAATATCAAACACAGTATTACCTGCAATAGCAAAAATACGAAAATAGTCTAAAAAATCAACAGGGGAATTGTTATGTATTTCATAGTATATCCATATGGTGTTTATTTTTAGGCTTTAAAATTTTTCAAAATCTTTAATGACTGATTTATCTTGTTAAATGCTTAGTCCTTAGCAGGTTCATATTCTCTAACCAAATGTGCCTTTAGACAAATATGACTAAAATAAAAAAAAATTTATTTCTGCCTCCCTACACTCAATTGTGAGGGTCTCTAGCCTAGGGGCGGGTAAGGTTACTGCTCTGCCCGTGCCGGAGAGAATATTGCATGTGCTGATTGGCAAACTCATGGTCTGCATGTGTGTATGCGTGCATGTAGGAGCAGGTGAGCACAGAGGGCAATGAACAATGTCTTTAGGCATTTCCCTGCAGCTGTGTGTCTCCAAGGTGACATGGTGGGTCATATCTAATTAGACAAGAAACAGCAGTTTGGTTGTTTGGTTTAGATGTGTTACATTCAGCATGCAAGGAGCCCTCTGTGTCTTATTACTCCTTGGCTATTCGGATATAGTCAAGGCTTTTACTGATTATGGACATGTATTACAGAGATTAGCCACACATGCATGAATAACTCTACCGGTGTTCTCAAATAGCACCATTGGAAGCCAATCACATTCTTATAAACAAAACATAACATGTGGCCTAAATTCAAACCATTACACTGTAACAAAAGTTTATCACCTTGTTAGGTGTAGTGCCTAGGGGCTTCAAGTAATTTAGCAAATAATCTGGTGTCCACAGGGAGGAAGGAAGCTTCCTGTTTGGAATGAAGATAGAGGAGTCAGATTATCTTCTTTCCCACTAATCTCAATGACTATCTCACTGAAGGAGAATTCTGCTATGTATCTTCACAATTCCTATGTAAAACTTTATTCTCTGGGGCTCTAGGCTTAAACCTATGGACTTTATGGAAACTGTAGAGTAAGGGAGGAAAACAGAACTGATAATCATGATAATTATGAGTATATGAGTATATTATAATTCAGATATAACATATACACCATCTAAACATAACAATAGCCATGCAGCACATCCATTTTATAGGTGGGAAAACCCATTATTCAAAAAGGTATTTGAATACATGTCTCTCTGATTCACAACTTCTCTTTTGCTATTATCCGTCAGCTCCATATGTATGTCAGTCTTTTACAAAGATGAATGCAACAATCCTATCCTAAAGATATAACACTTCTAGTGTACTTAAAAAAAACCACCTTAAAATTCTTTACCCAGCTAAACTGTCTTTTCAGAAAAACAAACAAAAGAAAACAAAATATAGACCTTTTAGACAAAGAAGAGCCAGGAGAGCTTATCATCAAGAGATCCACATTAGAGGAAGCTCTGAAGCAGCCTTTCTCAACAGGGGTTACACAAGAGAATTAAACCCTGCAGAAAATGTTTTCAATGATTATTACCATATCACTCTGGATGCATATTAGAACAATTAATTCATTATATACCGTGGATGACTTATGGTATTACGGCATCACTCTCTCAGGGAACCCCAGTTGAGAAGAGATGTTCTAAAGAATATACTGCATGTAGAAAGAAAATAATCCCAGATGTCCAAGAAAGAATGTGGAGTCAAGGAAGGATGCTGACAAATACACTTATGAGAGTTATATGAACAAACATTAATTAAATAAAAATAGCACTGATGTCTAATTTGAGAGTAAAACCAGCATGAAACTGTAAGACTGGGCAAAAACATCATGTAAAGTGAGTGGGATGAGACAGCGAAAACAGGGATCTCAGGTGTCTGTAACTCTTAGGTATTAACTTTAGACTTTGTTGAATATGCATATTAATAAACTTAGCTTAACTATTAAAAGAATAGGGCCGGCCCGGTGGCGCACTGCTACAGTGCGCTGCTTGGGAGGTGTGGCGGCGCTCCCGCCGAGGGTTCAGATCCCATATACAGACCGGCCACTCACTGGCTGAGCGAGGTGTGGGAGCAATGCCGAGGGTTGCAATCCCATTGCCGGTCCCCAGTCCGGTACGGGGGCAACACTGAG